CTATCTATCTATCTATCTATCTATCTATCTATCTATCTATCTATCTATCTATCATCCTTTTACAAAGACTATATACTTATCAGTAATTGTATCTATTCATACATTCAGAAGTTTCTACACTAGTAGGCTTCCATATGACCCTTTTCAGGATATTAGGTTTTATTTTGAAGTTTGTGATCCATTTGGAGTTGAGTTTTGTGCAAGATGAGAGATAAGGGTTGAGTTTTATTCTTTTACATGTATTCAGTTTGACCAACAGCCTTTGCTGAGAATGCCGCCTTTTCTCCAATAGTATTGTTGAGCTCTTTGTTAAAAATCATGTGCTTGTCGGAGCATGGGCTTGCGTGTTGGTCCTCAGTTCTACTCCATTGGTAAATAAGTCAGTTTTTATTTCACTACAATGCTGTTTTTATTATAGTTTTGAAGTAGAACTTAAAATCTTGGATGGTACTACCTCCTGTTATTTGTTGTTTAAGATTGTTGTTTATCCTGTGTCTTTTATATTTCCAAGTGAAATTAAGATTACTTTTCACTTTTTTTTAATAATTGTGCTGAAATATAGACAGTGCTTGCGTTCAGTCTATAGATTGCTTTTGGTAAGACAGCCATTTTCACATTAGTCCTGCCAATCCATGAGCATGGAAGGTCTTTTCACCTTTTGGTATCTTCAATTTATTTTCAATAATTTGAAATTCTCATTGTACAAATCCTTTATTTAGTCAGTTAAATTGATTCACACACACAAACACACACACATATATATGTATGTATACATATATGCTGTTATGAGTGGCATCATTTTCTTGATTAATTTTTTTATGGACCAACAGTTGACTTTAGTGGGAACTAAAATGATTTATAAAATTACTTAGGAATTATGGAGACACTTAGTGGTAACTTAATTTTTTCCCCATAGATTTTAAAATTGTTTTTACTGAGCTATATATTTTTCTCTGTTCCCTCCCTTTTTCTCCCCTCCTCTCCTACTCTCTCTCATGGTCTCCATGCTCCCAATTTACTCAGGAGATCTTGTCTTTTTCTACTTCCCATGTACATTAGGTTCATGTGTTTCTCTCGTAGGGTCCTCTTTGTTGTCTAGATTGTCTGGGTTGTGAATTGTAGGCTGCTTTTTTTTGATTTATGTCTAAAAGCCACTTATGAGTGAGTATGTATGATATTTGCCTTTCTGGATATAGGTTACCTAACTCAAAATGATGTTCTCTAGATCCATCCATTTGCTCGCAAATTTCAATATGTCATTTTTTTCTGTTGTGTAGTACTCCACTGTATAAACGCACCATGTTTTCCTTATCCATTCTTCCATCAAGGGGCATTTAGGTCATTTCCAGGTTCTGGCTATGGTAAACAATGCTTCTATGAACATAGTTGAGCACATATCCTTGTGGTATTATTGAACATCCTGTGGGTATATACCCAAAAGTGGTATTGCTGGGTCTTGAGGAAGGTTTTTGTCTAATTTTCTGAGAAATTGCCATACTGGTATGTTACTTGACCATTTTGCTTTGCAGCTCTTGATATTCTTTCTTCTATATGTTTGGTGTTTTGATTAATATGTGGTGAGGGGATTTTTTTTTGATCCAGTCTATTTGGTGTTCTGTAAGTTTCTTGTATCTTCATAGGCATATCTTTCTTTAGGTTGGGAAAGTTTTCTTCTATGATTTTGTTAAATATAGTTTCTGTGCCTTGAGTTGATCCTCCTCCTCCTTCTCCTCCTCCTCCTCCTCTTCCTCTTCTTTTTCTTCTTCTTCTTCTTCTTCTTCTTCTTCTTCTTCTTCTTCTTCTTCTTCTTCTTCTTCTTCTTCTTCTTCTTCTCCTTCTCCTTCTCCTTCTCCTTCTCCTCCTCCTTCTCCTTCTCCTTCTCCTTCTCCTTCTTCTTCTTCTATCCCCATTATTCTTAGGCTTGCTTTTTTTCATGGTGTCCCTTATTTCATGAATATTTTGTGATAAGCTTTTGTTAGATTTAATGTTTTCTTTGACTGATGAGTACATTTCCTCTATTGTATCTTCAGGGCTTGAGATTCTCTCTTCCATCTCTTGTTTTTGGCGGTTTATGCTTGCATTTATGGTTTCTGATCATTTTCTCATAATTTCCATTTCTATAATTCCCTTGATTTGTTTTTTCTTTGTTGCCTCTATTTTGGTTTTCAAGTCTTGAATCATTTCTTTCATCTGTTGGATTTCTTTTTCTTGGTTTTTTTTAAGGGATTTGTTGATGTCTTCCAATTTTTTGTTTGTTTTTTCCTCCATTTCTTTGAGGGAATTTTTCATTTCCTCTTTAAGGGCCTCAAACATTCTCCTAAAGTTATTTTTTAGCTCATTTTCTTCTGCTTCATCTATATTTAAGTCTTGATGTTGTAAAGCCACTAGTTTTTGTTGGTTTTGTGTTGTTCTTTGTGGTGTTGAATGTGCTTTTACTTTGTCTGCCTATCTTTTCTTCTGATTGGTATAGTTGGGCTGTGTCTCTCATGATCAATCTTCCAGATGCCAGTGGATCCAAGGCTCAGATAGTTACTCCTCGTGGTGCAGTCAGGGTCACAATTCCAGTCACCCTGTAGGTCACTCAGTGTTCCCAAAGGTCACTCAGTACTCCTGGAGGTCACTCTGCAAACCCAGGGATTGTTCAGCCCTGCTCCCATGGAGGTTGCTTGTTTGGGGCTGCTCCTGCTGAGGTTGCTGCCTTGGACCTGCTCTGGTGGAGGTTGCTGGCTTGGGCCTGCTCCCTTGGAGGTCATCAATTTGTGCTAATCCTGTAGAGGTCTCTGCCGGTCCCATAGAGGTCTCTGGCTCAGGCCTTCTCCCTCAGCAGTGGCTCCCTTGTACCTGCTCCTGTGGAGGTCATTGCCTATGGCCTGCTCTGGCTGAGGTCACTGGCTCTGGCCTGTTTCCAAAGATGTCCCTGACTTGGGCCTGCTTCCACGAAGGAGGTCCCTGGTTTGGGCCCAATTCTCTAGAGATCTCTAGTTTGGGTCTGTTCCCTTGGAGTTCCTGACTCATGCCTGGTCCTGCAGAGGTCTCTGGCTCCTCAGGCCTGTTCCCTTATACCGACTCCTGTGAAGGTCACTGCCTTGGACCTGCTATGGTTGAGGTAGCTGGCTCAGGCCTGGTCCCTTCGCAGTTGCTACCTTGTACCTGTTCCTGTGGAGGTTGCTACCTCAGGCCTGCTCCGGCTAAGGTGGTTGGCTCAGGCTTTCTCCCGTGGCCATTGCTGGTTCTTGATTAAGTTTTTATATTTGGAAACTATAATTCATAATTCCCCCTTCCCTTTACTTCCTTTAATCCCTCCCATATATTCCCTTCTTGCTCTTTCAAATTTATATAATTTTAATTTTTCTCAGTTTGTCATATATCAGAAGACTTGATTTTTATGTATTTTAATTTGAAAAATGTATTTATCAGCTGTAGGAGTTTTTTTTGTAGTCTTTGGGTTCTTTTAGGCATAAAACCACATCATCTACAAGTAAAGAAGGTTCCTTTTAAAATTTAAATTACAAAATGTTTTAGAACTTCTTACATGAGTTTATAACATTCATAACATTTTCATCTTTCCTTCAAGCCCATCCAGCACCTTCTGTGCTCCATACTCCCTCTCATATTTATTCTTCTTTAATTTTTTGACATATTTATGTATATGTACATACATGTAAATGGACATACACACACAGTCTTATGATCCTGTTCTAACTAAGGCTTACTATCTTTTTGGAATTTCTTCATTATGAAAGAGTTGCATATTACATATTATATTTTCATGCTATTGTTTAAATACTACATAATTAGAAATTTTCTAATTTATCCCTCATGTAAGCATTTTTCTAACAGTAACCATTTTATACAAAAACTTATATGATTTGAGGATTGTTTACCCATACTAAACAATTTCTTCAGTGTTTTCTTTATACCCAATATGACAAGCTAGAAATTCTTTTTATGGAAAAATATCTTCTTCTGCCTCTAAGACAAGTCCTGTCATTGGAGAGGTATTCTAAACGTTAAATATTATACTATACAACAAGTGGTTTTATTTTTCAATAAAATTTGTCTAAATATGTATTTTTGAGAATTCTTCTTTTTTGGGAATGCAAGGTAGAGTTAGGTATTTATAAGTTAATTCTTATTAAAATGGATAGATAAGCCATTATTGTATACACACATTTGCTTCCTCTGGCTTTCCATGATCAGTTTACATGCTTATCAACCATATGACAGAAAGGAATTAAATTGATATAAAGAACATATACAACATCCCCATCGAGGGCTTTACTGCCTGTACAACTTGCTTTCATTTTCTAGCTTGCTTTTGAAGTTGGCAGCTACGAGTTTCTCAGCAGGCAGCTACGAGACATTTATGTAATGTATCCACATTTATTTTAACAGAGTATCGTGGAGCATCTTCCACAGAAGAATGTTGGCTGTTTATCTGGCACAGGATACGAAATGGGAAAAATTAATATAAATGAACAAATGAAAGGTAAGAATAGAATTTTATTTTGAAAACCATGTGATGACTTATTTATTCAAAGCGGATGACTGCCACATAATACTAAAAGTATTGTAAGTGTTTTGTAAGAAATAAGAAATTTAAATAACAAGTTGAATAACTTCAAATTCTAACAACATGTTTAATGTGTTACTGAAAGTTCTGGACTATGAGTTACATTACAGGGTTTTCAAAACACCCAAGGAATTCTGAGATTAAGGAAAGGATGGAAGGAGAATGCAGAACAATCACAGTAGTGATTGCAGGAAGTGAGTAATGGGAAATGAGGCTTTATATACAGCAGAGAGGGCAAGTTATGAGAATAGTTTAGCTAAATCATGGAATGGCATTACAAATGCTATAAAAACATAAACTAAGCTTCCAGTATTTAAATATGTCTAAGAAGTGGACTACAATGTCCCTATACTTGTTTAATACATACTACATTGATTTCACATGTAACAGGCTTCTACTATCCTATATTTACCTGAAAAGTCAATTTACATTTTTGTTGGATAATCACATTTCACTACTGATGTCTTGCACATTATGCTGTACATGTGGTTCACATAACTTCTCTTATTATTGAGAAGCAGTAGGATATGTAAATTAGGATCAGGTGGTGGCGGTGCATGTCTCTAATCCCAGCTCTTGAGAGACAGAGGCAAGCAGATCTCTGTAGGTCTGAGGCCAACCTGGTCTTCAGAGTGAGTTCCAGGACAGTCAAGGCTACACAGAGAAATCTTGTCTTGAAAACACACACACACACAAAGATATCTAAACTAAATATAAAAATTGAGTCATGCAACTCAACAACATGAGTGTAGGAAAAGGAGAATATTGTAAGTTTTATTTTTTAGAAGAACATCATCAAAGATGATTAGTTCAGAGAACTTTCTTGGAAAATAACACTAGTGTGTTCTTCATAATTTATGGTGTGGATTGAAGAAGGTAACAAATATCACCCAAAACGATCCAAACTGTTGACAGTATTTTAGTGACATAGATGATGTCCCACTCTACCCACATCTTTGGCAGTCCACTGTCCAGAGTTATGCTTTGCTCCTCTGGTTAGAGATCCTTTTTTTCTACATCAATCAGTGCGCTCAACACATTGGCATGGGGGCCAATTCTGCTTCTGGCATAGTCAGTAGACTCACAATCTCTGTTGAAAATATTTGTTGAAAGCTCTTCTCTTGTTTTTATTCATTGTATTTCTTTAACATAGCTGCCTCAATCAGAAAACAAGAAAACAATCCAAAAGTCTTCCATCCCCCCAACACAGTAATCATCATTAAAGGAAAACATGAGGACTCAGTTTGATAACATTATGATTGACTGATGTCCATTCTGCATTTTAGAGTCTGACAAGGAGCTTTCTCAAATGACGGTAATCATGATTGTACTTTATCTTGGATGATGAGCATCAACACTGGGTGACGTATGCAATATTTATTAAGTGTCCTGTTTCAAAACCCATTTAGACTCCTATTGAAATCAAAAATGATGATTTCAAAGAAGCATGGACAACAAAGGACACGCCAGCCTTCAAATCAGGTAAACTATGCCATAATTATCCTAGATAGAAGGAGACATTTTAAGATTTTCTAAGTGCTCAGAAGTTTCTCACTCCCTTCCAGGTGGGTTTGTGCCTAGTCTGATTGTAACTTGGTGTGTTGTGTTTGGTTGATATCCCGGGAGGACTGCTGTTTTCTGACCGGGAATGGAAGATTAGATCTTGAGGAGAGGAGAGCTAGGTGGGGAACTGGGAGGAGTTGGAGGGAGGGGAACTGTAGTCAGGATGTATTGTATGAGAGAAGAATAAAAAATCTTCATAAATTTAACTACTGTATTGAGCTAAATATTTCTGAGGTCATTGTTGGTGTAAATAATTGAAAATAAAGGCATTGTCAGGGCTAAGAAATTGTGTAGGAAGTGTATTCTTTAAATCAGAAGTTTCTTCTTTCATGTTTTATCCCCTAAAGTTTGCCTGATTTTAAACCTATAACCGTTAGGGACTTCTAGGGCATAATTGTGAAAGCCCAAGGCTGTTCTCCAAGTGTAAAATAATAGTGATATTGCTGAGTGAATTGCTATTTGCCTGTTGATTCACTTACCCAGCAATCTGAAACACAAGAGCCTCTCTTTAAGACACAATTTCAAAGCCCTTGTAAGCAACACAATAATGAATTACATCCATAAATAATGTTCATTTTATTATAATTGGACAGTTTATTAGTTGCACATCTCTATGTGTTTTAAATTGTCTATTTGTATTTCATGCCATTATCTCATTATTTCATGGAATCAGGTCTATCACAATAAATTATACATTGTGATGTGACATCACTTGTGCCTTCCCTTTCCTCCTAACCTAAGACTGTATCTTTTCGATTCCAGTTGCTCTGTAGTGGCACCAGCCTTTGCATGCAACATCACATACCCATTACAGTTGCTTCATAGACGCTATTCACGTCATTTATCCAGAAGCCTATACTGCACTGTGATGTTATTGCTTGATGATTTTAGTAGATTAAGGAATCAGTTCATTCAAAACAAAACACCAACCTGGTCCCCTCACCCTAGTAAGATGTGCACCAGAAACAAGCAACTTAAACTTAACTCCCTTTATAGTTCTCTGAAATGACAAGTCTACTTCTCCAAGGATACAATCCTACTTATACATTTATTCACTTAACAAAATTGTTCTGTACCAGATGCTGATAAATTTATAACTAAACATTCCTATAAACATTCCACCAGTTATGGTCTGGATAATGTTTATCTTGCCCCAATAACTTCTTATAAAACATCTACCTCCATTTATGCAATGCTGTGCACATTCAATCTCCAACCAACTTGCTAGTTTGTCAAGCTAACATTTTGAAACGAAAAGGTCCAACCTTCTTAAAATTCCAGAGAAGGCTTTCATGACTTATGTCCAACCCTGTATTATTAGCACAAACTCCACTCTTGCGTTTCCTGTAAAATTACTAGACTGCTGGTGGTATCTTTTCTAATAATCTGCTTTTAGATCGTTCCCTACTAAACATCCTTCTTTCACATTTCTTCCTTTCATGTACTTGCAGTTTCTTTACTGGTGTCTGACTAACCTCATAGTTTAAGTATCAAGCTGATATTATGTTTAGAAAAAATACAGTAAACAATTATTGAGTAAAATGAAATAGACTGCTTACACTGGAATGACTAATTGTTCCTACTTGGGTAGATAAAAAGGAATTATACATGTACATAAATAATTTGAAGCTCTAGTGATAAAGATAAAATTGAAAAAAATCAACAAATACTCAGACAGACACAAGAAAAGATTTATCTGTATAGGAAGAGCCAGAACTCAATACTTTATATGGCAAAAAATTATTAAAAGATGAGACAAAACTGCTAAAATAGTGGACAGAGATAATCAAATATAAAGAGCAGGGTAGCAAAGACAAAGGTGTGGAGAATGCTGGAACTTTTGTTTAGAAAATAATTAGTGGATTATTTAAGTGTTCAGAGTAGAAATAAAGAAGAGCTCACTCGTATGCATTCTGTTCATTACTGTGATAATTTTAAGTTTCACTTCTGAGGGCTCGCTTATTTCTGTTGAGTGGTTGAATGTATGGAAGAATCTCAAAAATGCTTCTTACATCTGGAGTCTGTCAAACTCTCATGTTGACCCAAGTACTGGTGGTGACTGGAAGCAATGCTTTTAAGAACTGTATATTCAGCTAACTGTAAAGCTGGATACAAACTAATTAGGAAAATTCAAAATGGAATTTTTATAAACACAAGTTTTAAGATACTTCCATCTATTGCTATAAAGACTATTGTTTTATATACAATATATTAATAGTTTGTTTAACTAAATATATTTATTAGTAGAGCCAGACTTAGAAGTGACATCAGAGGAAGATCACAGTAGATTTGATGAGAAGGGAAGTATCCACTCATTGGTATGTAAATATAAATTAGAGTTTCTGGTATAAAAGTTTTTCTTGTTTAAGAATGTTGCATGAAGCCAGGCAATGGAGATGTATGCCCGGCAATTGGGATGCAGATGCAAGTTGATCTCTATGATTTCAAAGTCAGACTGGTCTACAAAGTAAGTTCAGCCAATCCTGTTGCAAAGTATTGAAAAAAAAAAACCAACAAAAAAGATTGTTGCTTGGGCCAAAGGAAATTACAGTTAAGGCAGCCAAGAATTGATGGCTTGCAATTTAATACTTAGCCTTAAAGTCTTAACAAATATTTTACCTTCTTATGGAACATATGGCTAACATTTATCCTTAGATAAACATTATTTTCCCTGTGTTTATTAACCCTACGAGCAAGATGTTATAAAAAATTCTGTCCATATATCTTTTATCTGATACAAACACAATAATTTTTTAGCTTCAAATTTGTTAATGTGTAAGTATTAACAAGGTAATAGTGCTGATTCCAGCACAAAGGAAATCAAATCAGTAAATATGGAAAGAGTGACCTGCTCTCTCTAGAGGACTTTAGAACATATTTGAACAACTTAATGCAGAAGTTTATGTAGATGAGATAATATTAAATATATTTTCAGTTGTTTGGAAGAACAGCCTGCAACAGAAATGTTGTGAACAGTGATAGAGGCATTACTGAAAACTTTGTAAGTATTGATTGAGACCTGTGCTGGCTAGTTTTATGTCAACTTGACATGAACTAGAGATCTCTGAAAGGAGGGAAGGAAACTCAATTGAGAAAATGCCTCCTTAAGACCTGTCATTTTAAATTAAAAAAAAATCTTATTGTAAGGCATTTTCTTAATTAGTAAATGATGTGGGAGGGCACAGCTCATTGTGCTTAGTGCCCCCCATGGACTGGTTGTCCTGGGGTCTTTAAGAAAGCAGGCTGAGCAAGCCATGATAAGCATCCAGTAAGCCGCGCTCCTCCATGGCCTCTGCACCAGTTTCTACCTCCAGGTCTCTGCACTGTTTTGAATTCCTGTCTTGACGTCCTTTGATGATGAACAATGAGGAAAGTCAAATAAACCCTTTCCTCCCCCAAGTTGGTGTTTCATCACAGCAGTAATAATCATAGCTAAGACAATACCAAACAATTTTCGTTATTGGGGGTCAATGATATACTAGCTAGATTTAAACACTGAATGTCCCAGATGTCCCATTTTCTAGTGAGAATAGATAAACAATACTCAACAAGTTCTTTTAGATCACTACATGTGAATCATTTGAGAAAAACACAGCATTGAAGGGGTCTGTAGTTAGCATGGACTACGGGTGGCCGTACACTTTTAAATTTAGAGAAGATTTTTTTCTGAGTGAGAAGTAACTTCTAATGAAAGACCAAGTGGAATCTAATCAAGGAGGAGGAGCATGTATCACATCATTTTTTAGTTGGCTCTTACCCTGCGTAACCAGGAAGTAGGGCTGGGATAACGCCTTGCAATCATCACGTTACTCTTGTAATATGTTACGTACACAGAGATGCTCAGCTAACAGGCTTATGCAGTCAGTTACTTAAAAACTCAATGCCATTGTCTTGGAAGTTTTCCTTCCTTGGAAAAAAATTGTATAATAATATGTAGTATTTGTGCAATATTATCCATCCATTCCATGGATAATTTCTTTTGAAAATTTGTTACGTAAATATTTTTAAATTAGCATACTAAGTAAGAGGTTTCCTTATGGTGTTTTCACAATTGTTTAGGCTGATCCTCCTCACCTCACATCACACCCTTCCTTCCTCATAGTTCCCCTTTTTTTCATTTCTCATAGATTCTACTACCCCTGCCACTTTTCTTAGAGTCTTTTCCCTAGTCTCATGGTCCTCTTTCTAGTTTGATAAGCTTTGCCTATACCCCCCCCACAGAATAATAAAAATTAGACGCTAGGATTTGCTTCTGAAAGCATATCTGGTATTTGTATTTTTGAGTATGGGTCCCCTCACTTCATATAGTAACTTTCAGATAAATTGACCTTCTTGAAAACTTCGTGTCTTTCCTTTCTTTATGGCTGATTTAATTCCATTTTGTATCTCTACTGCATTTTCATTGCTTGGTTTCACTCCACTTTCCCCTCTGTGAGGGCTGAGTTATTACCTTCAGTTTAGGTTTCTAGCAATGTGAACTGCCTCACTGTGAATTTCATGGTGATGGGCAGCTGGAGTTCTTGGATATACTTCACTGGTGAGCCTGCCTCAGCATGAGCATATTGGTGCGGTTGAGGAGCATTCGGCTTCTTTGTAGAGAAAAGTCCGAGTTTTATTTCTGTTTTCTATGCTCTGTTTATTTCTCTGCTAGCACTTTTCCATTACTTTCTCCCTCCCTTCTCATGGTTATGGCTTCCAGTATGCCGTCTTGCCTCTGCTCCCCAATTTCCCAATCAGTAAGCAATTTTAACAGCAAAATACAGACATCTTATCCCGAATTTTATACGAAGAAACTTCAAATTATATCCAGTTCTGATTGTACCAACAGTAGTGTGTGACGCATATTGCATCTGATTCTAAACTATCTGTTGCGTTTTAAGTGCCCTGGATATGAGTCCATAGAGTGCATTTATGAAAAGTTGTTTAAGTATGCATTTTCTTTAAAAATTCTATTATTTTTGTGGGGCATGCAAAGTAGATTTTGATACACAAAAGTAAAATATTGACTAAAATATATAAGCCATCTGCTACTCCCTACCTGTATGTTCTTTTGGCCTGCCATGCTGCTTACATAGTCAGTGACCGCATGAAGATAGAAGTTAGAATGGATCTGAAGAGCACTCTGAGGCTCTATTTTCAAATATTTTAGCTTTTAATATGTACTTCTTTTATATTCAACTACATGTGATTTTATTATAAGAAATCTGACACCTTCATAAAATCGATTGGGAGGATTTTATATAACTCATGATCACTCCTTGTTATAACAGAGCATCGATGAGAATCTTCCAAATATATCTGACAATGAATCTGTGGGAGCAGATTCAAGAAGAGAAAAGACAAATGGACAAGCAACAGGTAGGCAGTACCTTTCATGGAAAAGTCATTTTTTTTCCAAGAAAAGTTTTTCCTTTGTTACAGTCCTAGCTGCCCTGGGTATAGCACTTGTAGACCAGGCTGGCCTCAAACTCACAGAGATCTGCCTGCCTCTTCATCCTCAGTGCTGAGAATAAAGGCTTGCACCACCTGGCAAAAGAAGTCATTTTTTTTGTGATGCTTGTTTATGACAGGAGGCTGAAGTATGCTACTAACTAAAGAAAATCCATTATAGAGTTTGTGACTGCTTATCTAATCTCAGTTTGGGTGATGGCAATGTAAATTCTTAGAGTAGATTTCAAATAGATATATATTAGCTTTTGGAATGAAGCTGTGTTGACCCCTGCTTCTCAAACTTGGTGAGTCATCTAGATAAACTCTGATAAGTTCTAAGTAGGGTTTTGTATATTATGGAAAGCATAGTAGGCCCCAAATCAGGTGTACATTTTGCCTCTTTTTTTTCTGGGTATTTGGTCTCAAGTGCACCTGGCAGTTTTCCCCGCCAAAACGTCTCTCCAGCTCATGTGTGCACTATGACTTAATAGAGAAGTCATGAAGGTAGTTATTCTTTATTATACTGTTATAGTAACTGGTGCATGCTGCAATTCCTTATAACCATGTATAATATAATACAAACTATAGAAAGTTGTTTCAAAAATAAATAATAACCAAGTCAGATTTTATAACCCAGTACTTTGTAGACTGAGACAAGAAGATTGCAAAAATTTGTGGCTATCTGGCCTCCACATTAAAATCTGTTTCTTCCATGGCTATAGCAAAACACTAGGTCTGTACTCCAAAACAAAGGAATTGCAAATATTCTTTTAAATTTTCTAGAGGAAATAGTTAAATTAAACACTGAAGCAAGTCTGATAGATTGTTCTGGATGACTAAGTGGTTAAGATCACTGGCTGTTCTTTTTTTTTTTCTTTTTTCTTTTTTTTTTATTCCCATCACATGCGCCCGCAGTTCAGATGGGCTAATTTGTAGCCCTGGTTATGGGTCTGGACAGTTTAATTTTTTCATTTTACAAATTTCAAACTATATTCATAAATTCTTTTTAACTAAAAATTCTGAATATAAAACATCATTATTAATGGGAATTCTTCTGTTTTAAATTAATTGCTTTAACTTTTTTAAGCAAATTTTTTGCAATTTGATATCTCTTGACATACATGTCCCAATCCCACTCCCATTCCAACTCTTGTCACCATGGTTTTATTTTTTTTCCTTATGTATTTATTTAAAGAATTTCCACTTCCTCCCCTCCTCCCAATACCCTCCGCTTCCCCCACTCCCTCTCCTCCTCCATCACCATTCCCAAGAGCAGTCAGGGTTTCCTGCCCTGTGGGAAATCC